ATCAAAATGAATAAATGAACCTAATTACCAGCCCCACCAACAAAAAAAAAATGGAGGGGATAGCTCCAGTGGTAGGGCGCATGTTTAGCATACACGAGGCCCTGGCACCTCCTCTAAAAATAAATAAATAAATAGACCTAATTACCTCTCCCACCAAAAAAATAAAATAAAAAAGAGCTAAGGAAAAAACCCTACATTCAAAATCAAGTAGTATCAGGCAAAGAGAAAAAGCCTCACCTCACTTCGAGTGACCACAATCCTGACCAGGGTGGAGTCATCTGTGCCGGCACCTTTCATTGAATAGTAGAGCCTCTCAGCAAAGAAGGCAGGGCGGTTCAGGGCACACTGCACTGCAAGGGAGACACGCTTCAGACACGGGGCCGGGACGGGACAAAAGGGGTCCACCCACCAGCTTCACCCGTCACTTCCAGCTGCCTCCGATCGGGTTCTATGTAATCATCCCCGAAATCTTATGTGAGGTGCGGATGTTCTCCTCTTGATTTTTCTCAGCATCCATCTGTCTTTCTAGCTGCATCAGACAGACTACCTTCAATACTAGAAGTTTCCCTCTGGCTAATAAACCCCATTTTCTCTCCATAGATCAGTCACACAGAGTCTTAACATTTTCCTCTGTAAAGTGAGAAAATCCTGTGGCAACTGTGCCCTGATAATCTCTTACTGAAAGGAATAATTGCTGAAATCTGAATTCTAAGAGTTAAATACATCATTTGGCTGAGAGAAGGATGTGAGACAGACTCCAAAATGAAAAAGAAAACACAGATCCAAGCAAAGACTTGAGAATGATAAAAAGAAACCTGACATGTTTTCTCTTAGGAAAACTGATTTACTAAAGTCTCCTCCTGCAGGTGGTAAAGATGTACCAGGTGTTCATTATTATGTTAGCTACAATTACTATGGTAGTATTTCTCAGACATTCAACTGCTATTACCAATATGTTACTAATACTCTCTTTAGTCTTATATTCTCCTTGAGAATGAAATTTTCACTTCATTAAGCATTTGAATGTTAAGACACCCAAAATTGGAGTTTTAGTTTCAAAAGGGGAAAGGGTCTCACTGGGCTGAGTACTTGAAAGGTGTCTGGGGGGCTCAAAATGACCCTTTGTGTGGTGGTGCTCCAGAGTCTCCTGGGGCATTCCCAGTCACCTTACTGGAAATGCTTCAATCTATTGTCTATTTTTGCACAGTCCTCAAGAAAGGAGACAGAGAATAAAGACTAAATAATCCCAGAACAACCCTATTTGATCATACCACCAACCACTCATAGGGAATCACATATAAAAACACAGGATTAGCTCAGCCTCTGCCTAAGCAGATTTCAGGGAGTCTATATTAATAATCACCACTTCATGGGGACAAATATTCAAAGCCTCGCTCATTTACAAACCAAACAAAGCAAAACACAAAAGTATCTTACAGATGGTCTTCAAACCACTTTCAACGTTTCCAGAAAACTCACGGCCAACACTGCTTAACAAATCTCGATTAGCCATCTGCAAACAAAGAATATAGGGGTTAAAATATTCTCACACTTCAAAACAAAAGCCAAATCTTCAAAAGAAAAGCTCATACCCTGGAATAAGCCTCCATGGTAGCTTTCAGCTGAGGAAAGCTTCTTGTGGCAAGAATCATGTTAAAGCAAGACTCATCTGTCCCTAATCTCCCCTCACCGGCTTGATACAGACGCTGAGCATCTTCCTGAGCCAGTTGGTGGTTAACATTTTGGTTCTCGTCACGATTTCCCTGCAAAAGAGGAAGGCAGGAATTAGAAGAAAGTGATGCAAGTTTTATTTAAAAAACATTTTCCAATATAGTCACTTTTAGATTTAAAGGGACAACTTACTAAAGATTAATGCATAACGCTTCTCACGCATATCTTTCACTCCCCAAGAAACTATACTAGTGTAACAAGTACTTTATCACTCTGCCAATTCTGGATTTTATAATATATATTCATGGTTTAATGAGGTTAAATTAAAATAAGAGGTTTTCAGGGCTTTGAGAGCTAAATTAAACCACAAAAGTTTTCCATAAAAAATTACACATACACACACACAAAAATCTCTCTTCTAGAGATATAAACTACCACTTGAATGAAGAAAGTATGGCTCTCCTTAGCTGGGATTTAAGACCAATATGCACTACACTGAGTTCCACTCTGTTTTCATTCATGCAATTGAAAGGTAAGGAGCACATGCTCTGTACCAGGCTCTATTAGTCAGGGTTCTCCAGAGGAGCAGAACCAACAGGCTGTACTAAATGGTAGAGACACAAGAAAGACAAGGCTCCCACCCTCAGGGAACTGAAGTCCAGGGAGGGAGCATATAATACGGAGGCTTCAGGAACTTCCTTGCTTTCATCCAAGAGTAATCTTACTATGTAAGTATTATGAATGTGTACGTAAAAACGACATGTGGGGCTTTTAGAAGAAGTGATAAATAACTCAGGTTCTGCTAGACTGTGTTGATTTATAGACCAAACTCTTCCCTGGGATGGGAGGGAGGGAAGAGAGGGAGACAAGCAGCTCTGGGCCTGAACAAGAGGAAAGCTTAGATGGGTAGCTGGTTTCTCTCAAAAACAGAAACACAAACCCCAACACAGGAAAGGCTGCGCTCTAGAGTCATAGTGTCTGTCTGAACTAAAAAACCGAGAGGTGTTCCTTGAACATCAGAAACTGTCTTCTGAAGAGCACTGGGCACAAGGAATACGTAAAAGCATATTCTAAATAGGCTACTGAACACAGCACAGGAAAAGGTGCTCAGAAAAACCTCCCCAGATTATTGCCTTTGGATTCAAACACACAATACAATCCCACTTTCCTAGGAAGCCACTCCCTGGAAGAGGCTCCTTTACTTTTACTTTGTAAAAGAGCTGGGCCTTGACTCCTGCATAAAGACACATTCAGCACCTCGTTAAAGACTTAATAATCATTTTTAGCATTAAATCTCTGTTCCCAATTTTTTTTTCATGCTAACCTACTCTTCTGCTGTTACTGTTGTAGGTAAACTCAATGGCCTCCCACCCTTTTGCTTTCTTTTCTCATTTCCATACCCACTCACTTTGGCACACTGTCTTTTCTGCAACCGCCTTCTTTGCTCTGGAGAGCCTCTCCTCTACTTCTGGAACCCTCAAGACTGTCCAACCTTGTGCACTAGCAGGGTAGCCAATAACTCCTGATATTGAAACAGTGTGCTAGTCTTTTGTATCATCTCTCAAATATACTCTCATCATCTCATTCTAAGTGTGTTTATAGTATCATTCCAAATACCCTATTTGGAGAATTTTCTGTCATTTTTCCAGCACATCTTGGGAATCTGAATAAGGAAGGTGCTAATCACAGCATTACTGTGAGCCCTACAACACTGTTTGCATTTCTGGCTCTCCTCACACAGCTCCTCTGATAGCTCTTCCACAGCCGACCTGCAGTGCCAGTCCAACTTAACTGGCAGTACAATGCCAAGCTTAAAAGTACAGATTCATCTCCAATCTACAACACAGAGCCTCAAACTGATTTCTGATTTTGTACAACCTTAAAGAGGTTAATTTCTGATTCCTTTCAAAAGTCAAATCTGCAGAAATAAATTTCAATAGTGACCACAAAGAAATCTGTAGAGTGGATTCTGTGCCGCTTCAAGATGGCAAGATCCCAAGGGGGCTAAATATTAAAAAGAATAAAAAGAGCCCACTGGCAAAAGGTAGCAAAGAATGTTCCCTCCACCAACACACAAACATTTATGCTATACTCACCTGGCACATGGATACAAGTAAACGTTCAAAATGCCCTGAAGTATCTGATCTAATGTCCTTTTCAAGGTCTCGTCCAAATTCTGACTGATAACATCTGACAATTTCTCGGATTTCTTGATTTGTTCTTGTACACAAAATTTCAATCAATACACGTTCCTGAGTTCCTGCTCCCTATGTGAAATGAAGAAACAGAGAATTATACAAAGAAAAATAAAATTTCTGAAAGTAATTAAATCTTACTGTTACATCAAATATTTCTTTGGCCTCCAGATCTGAAAAACTCTGTATTTTCAGATAATATAAGATGATGTATTGATTTAGCTGTCACTGTAAATTCAGAACTACCATAATTTATAGTGTTTTACACTTGAATAGGATAAACTATTCACAGTAAATGTCATATAGTACCTTCATCGCATTCCGTAAACTCCAGGCATCATAATATGTAGGTGGCATGAACAGGGCAAGGATCAGTTCTTCCATATTTCCACTTAACTCTGATTTAAGATCTTTGATTAAATCCTGTTAAGTTACAAATACAAACTTAAGTACTTGTGCTCTCCAAATTTTGTTCCTTAAATTTTTTAAGGAAAATACGAAAAAAATGGAATTGACTTGCTTTATGAAAACCTTAATTTCAATTCTCAATATTACACAGTAAGAAATAGGTAAATATATACACCTTAAGTTTATCACACTCAAGCAGATATATTTTATTCATTCTATCAATAAACATCTAGTAATAAATTTACTGTAGTTCCTCCACTATACCAGGTACAAAATAGGAGGTACATGAAACAGAATAATTCAAATTAACAAAATGATAAACAAATTTACTTAGTATTTACTTAGTATATACTTCCTCATCTTGTTCTATGAGGAAGTAGAAATCATTATCATATTCTTATTTGGAAAGATAAGATAAACATCTAAAAAAAAAAGACAATAAAAGGCAGCTTGAACTCCAGCACCAGATGAGTAAGTAGCACATAAACAAGTTGAAACAGGAAAAGCTGAAGTGGGCTAGAGAGCTCAGAGACAGCTTTTAGTCCAGATCTTGAACAGTACGTAAAAATGAGCAGGCAAAGAGAAAGGAGAAAGGTATTGTAGGCAAGGAGGAAGAACACAAACAAAAAAAGAGGTTCCCAACCTTGACTATATGCATTAAAATCATCTGTGGAATTTTTCTTAAAAAAAAAAAAAACCTCTGATGTCAAGGATGAATATTCAGAGATTCTACATGTGTTTTTAAGTTCAAAAGGAGATTATGATTCTTAAGGTTAAGAATCACTAGCGTAGAGGCAAGATTGAGGAAAGCCTGTTCAATGGAACAATAAGATGACCAATTTAGTTAGAGGGTAATGTCTCCATAGATTAGTGAAACAGAGTTGTAGCCATATGCTTGGATTACTACCTGAATACCAAGCTAAAGAATGTGGATTTGACTCTGCATCCTGGGAGAAGCCACTGGAAACTTTTATGCAAGAAAACAGCATTGAAACAGCAACAACAGGCAGTATGAATTATGATGACAAGGAGGCTATAAATTAAATTTAGGCTACTGGAATATTTAGGTAAGAAGTAATAAAGGCTTGGACTTGAGTGATGACAATGGAAGTGGAAAGAAAAAAGGAGACACAAGGCACATTTTTTAAAGAGCCCTTTTACAGGTTAGATCAAGAAGATGTGGTCAATAACCAGTTGCTACGATAAAGCAGTGCAGGGCATACAGTAGGCACTGAAACAATATTCACTGACTGACTAAGAAGAATGTGGAATCAAAGAAGATTCCATGGCAGGCTAGAGGAATAGTATTTTTAATAATAAGTCAAGAGACAAGGTGACTGTGGGTAAGGAAAATTGGCTGTGAATTAGTTTTAATTCAAAAGCAATATATGAGAAAATTCAGGACAGCAGAGCACAGACTATATATGAATTAAAGAAATTCATAATATAGAAAATACTTTTGTGAGAGAAGCAAGTCTGCTGTTGAACCCTAAGAGAATCTAGTTTGTGTTGCTTAATCAGTCTTAAGACTGAGGAAGTGGATTGGGTTGGGCAGAGAGGGAAAGGCACAGTAGAAAGATGAGGTGGGACGAGCCAATGGACCTCTACTTGCATTCTGAGAAAAGTAAACTGGACCCAGAGGATGTCAGGAAATGTTTAGGATTCCTATCTAAATGGCAAACCAATGCTCCCAGTTTTTCCTTTTATTTAAGAAGCAGTGGAACTGTTCAGCCACTGAATCTCAATGGGTTTAGTCTCTGATCATCCACTCAAGAAATATTTATTAAGTGGCCATCTGCTATTGTTCCTGTACTTGGTGCTATAAATACAAAGTGATGAATATGACATGGTTTGCCTGAGGGAAGCTCAGTTTTACGGGGTAAGCAGTGAGATTAGTTATAGCAGAGGTTTTACAAAGTACTGTGGGACTTTAGTGAAAGAAGCAGCTACATTCTGCCTGGAGCAGAGAGAGAAACTTCACAAAGTAGCTTAATTAAGCCAAATCCTGGAGAATTTGTTTGCCATGCAGAAAAAGAGGAAAAGGTATTCTAGGACAAGAAAGCAACATATACAAACCATGGAATATGTGTGGGGAATGGTAAGAAGTTCCATACAAGCATAATACAGAATATGTTTAGAGGGAAAGAGAGAGGACTGGAGATGATGCCAAGGACCAAGAACAAGCAAGGGCTTAAAAGAAATCCTTAAATCCCACTGCAGGGAGAAGAGTGAGAATCAAGCTACTGATCATGACTCTGGTCATAATCCACTTTCTTCTGAACATCTATCACCTACCAGACATAGTAGATGGGTATGACTATGAGATCCAGAACTGGAAAGGTTTTCAAGAGATATAAATATTGACTACACCTCTCCTGGGGTTTCTGAAGTTTAGCTGTCTCTACTCTATACTCAACAGTACTAATAAAAATACAGCATCCATCCTGACATGAATGGGGGAGGTCTACAGACCACTATTCCTGCTCATGCCAAAACAGAAAAAGAACAAAAACATACCTTGCCATACATGGTCTTAAAAGCTGCTTTAATTTTCTGCCTTTGATCATTGGAACGGTTGGCTACAACGTCTATAATTGCCTGCTCGTCTGTCCCTGGAAGAACCATACATGTTTAAGTAAGGATGAAGTCCGTGTGGGGTGTTCCTTGAGGACATCTCTTAGATGCTTATAAGGTGACTGGTGCCAGATTAAATTGGGGTATGTGCACACAGGCTGAAATATAAACTTGGTTTATGACATAAAGCATATTTTTACTTTATATTCAATCACTTGAACTTATTATAAATAAGATCAAAATATATTTTCCTTACCAAAACCCTTCATTGCTTTACGAAGAACTTCTGCATCTCTCATGGCATCAAAGCTGGCAGCTGGTTGAATTGTTCCTTGATTTCCCTGAGTCAAAGCAGCAGGTAAAGAACAAAGAACATAAAATCCAAGTCAGTTATTGTGGTAATCATTTCACAATACATACATATACCAAATCAACATGGTGTACACCTAAAACTAATACAATATGTCAGTTGTGTCTCAATGAAACTGGAAAAAAAATATGAAAAAAAATGTTCAACTTCTTTAATAAAACAAACACAAATTTAAAAAATTAAAAAATCCAAGTCAGGATTCTCTGCTGACAAGAAGACAACTTAAGACTTCTCCAATCATCACTCTTAGGCAAGGAAGCTAGTGCTTGGGTTTGAGGACAAGGATACTTACTTTCAGGGCTCATTCAGGAACAGGCAGGAAAGATCTTTCCCCCTCCTGCCAATAGCTAGCTAGACAGCAAACTTTCAGAAGACAAAATAGTCAAGCTTATGAAATTAGTCACAATCTTTCTATGCTTTGGTTTCCTTCTTGATAGAATAGGAGGGGAAAAAAGAGATGGATCCCTGGATAGTGTGAGATGAGTAGCAGTGTTTGATTTAAAGAGTACAATAATGGATTTAGTGAAGTAGAACATAAGCTACCAAGTGAGGTTTCAAACAAGCAGTATAATTTTGGTAATATCTCTTCATTTTCTCTATGGGTCTGGATTATTATACATTTTAAAAATCACAAAAATGAAACTGATGACTGGAAATTCTGAGAGTTACAATATTCTTCACTGATTTTATAAGAAAATAAACCAGAAAGCAAAACAAGGATTATATTTTAAAAATACAAATCTATAAATTTAAAATTGCCATATGACAAACACCACAGTAATAATTGTTTCAGACAAGAATCATCAATTGATGCGAAAATTAGCAGGTAAAAGTAAGATGAGAACCAAGATATTTGCATAGTTTGGAACATTACAGGGGAAAACCTGGCAGAGATCATCTTAAACATGTGATCAAACCCAAATGCCACCAGTAATGGAACAAGTCAACAATAAGTGCCTCCTGACAGGATGCACTGGGGACTCAACATCATTTCTGTGGTGTTCCTGCCAAAATGGCATAACATAAATTTAATCAGGAGGACATATGAGACAAACCCAAAGAATAATAAGGAATATTCTACAAAATAACTGGTAAGTACCCTTCAAAAGTGTAAAGGTTATGAACAACAAAGACTAAAGAATTACTTCATTACTTCATATTAAAGGAAAGACATGAGACATGAGGATGAAATACAATGTTTCATCCTGGATTTGATCCTGAACCAGAAGGACATTACTGGGACAACTAATGAAATCTGAATAAGGTCTACAGGTTGGGTAATAGTATTATAACAATGTTATTTCCTGCTTTTGATCACTATTTTGTGTTTATGTAAGAAGTTAACATTTGGAGAATCAGTAAAATGTATGTACACAGGAAATCTACATACAATTTTTGCAACTTTTTTATAAGTCTGAAATTATTTCAAAATTTAGTTTAAAAAATTAAAGATAACAAAGCTATGAAACGATTTATTAGTTTTCTTAAAATATTCAAATCAGGGCTTAAGAGAGATGGGATGAAGCAAGATGATACCCTACCACATTTTTAAAAATTCTTAATATATTTTATTTTACACAGTATCTCTAAAATATCATTTAAAGATGCAATCAAATATAAAATGATTCAATTGCTTTTTAGGCAACTGAAACTGCATTGACACTTACACCAATTGACTACAGCAATATGCCAGCACCTGTTGGAGCAAAGTAACTGGGGAGAAGGGGACCAGACCACCTTTCAGCAAACATTTTTATGGTCAATGGTTCCTCCCACTCATCTATACTCTTACACCAACATTTTCTTTTACCAGTAAGCCCTAACAAACATTCTTTATTAGTTTCTAAGCCAGGAATGGGAATGGAAGCAAAGAACTGGTAAGAAATATTTTTATAGTTGTTTTTAAGGAAAAACTAAAATTCTTCTCTTGTAGCAAATATTCAAGCAGAAATTTTTTTCAGCATGTTGCCTTTATATCAGCCTTAATGTATCAAAAAATTATAAAAGTTTCCTTTGACGTAACCACTGTCACTAAATCCTAGGCAGGGTAGAAGCCTTTGTTTATAATACACTGAACTAGACAATAAGACAAACTAACCCTCAGCATGTACTGTTCGTTGACTCTCATTTTCTGAAATTGTCTTCCTTCTAAAAACAAATAACAAACAAAAAACCTATTCCACTTTTGAACTGGAGGGGGAAATGGTTCTGTTTCATTCTTTGTTCAAAGTCTAAGTTTGATATGAATCTTCATCAAGAATATTATGATTTCCCAGGCATTATAAAGAATTCAAAGAAATCAGGGTCCATGTTCTTAAGGTCAAAACTCCCTGACTAGGGAGATTTCTCAGCATAGCAAGTCCATACTATCTGCCACCAAAAGGCCAACCGTTTGACACTCATTTGAGTCCAATCTTCCTGCTGGAACACTGCCATAGACATACAATTGGGTTAATCAGGAGAGGTCACCCTGCCCAATAGCCCAACCAAGACAAAAATTTTCTTTACATCTTCCTACACATACACATCATCAACCTTTACCAGGGGATTTTCAGTGACAGGGCGTTCACCCCTCACAAGGTAGTCTATTCCACACCCATCTAAAAGCTCTTTCAAAATCTACTGCTGTTAACTTGCTGGTTTTAGTTCTCTCTTCAGGTGGTAACTGTTACACAAGACAAGTTGCGTATGTATGTGTTTTATGTTTTTATGTTTAAAAATATTTTATATTCAGTCATAAAATCATGTCTCCAGAATTATATGCATGCTTAAACTAAAATAAAATCAAAATTCTTATAACAAATTATTAAAATAATCTGACTAACAATAATATGACTAACAATCTACTTCAACAATAAAAAAAAGGACTAAAAGCAATTTACTATGTGCTTTGGAGGAATATCATTTACTGTATCAGCAAAGTAACACTGTATAACAGAGACACCGCTGGCCCAGGAGGCAGAAGAGTGAGGATCTAGTCTCAGCTTTATCTTTTACTAGCTGTGTAGCCCTGGACAAGTTTCTTAATCTCTCTGGGGCTCAAATTCCTCAAATCAGGAAAGGAAGTCAGAAAATGGCTAAAGTGCTTCTTTTCCAATACTGTAATCCCTTTCCCAACCCAGCCTAAAAAAAATTTCCATATGCTAGATCTTAATGAATAGACAGTATGGAAATGAGAAAATCAAGATAAGGTAAACAGAAAACTGCTTATGCTCCTGTAACTTGCATAGAATATAAAAGAATTAACAAGTCAATTAAATAAAACTTACTATTAAAATGAGCTATACTGAGATGGGGCAAAGATTTGACATATGGGAGGCCTTCTGAAACTACTGAAAAATCAATTTAACAGACATTAATTGGCTATGTTTAAAGCCCTGTCAAGCGCTATAGGGACATAAAGATAAAACAGATACAGTTGAGCCCTCAAGGAAGTGATCAGAGACAAATACATCAGAAATTAGAAACAAATGAAGACACATTTGTGATTAGTGAACATTAGAAGAACCTTACTCACTTCACTGCTATAATCCAAAGAAACAGGAGAGAAAACAGGATAGGAAGGAAAGGATTCTGTACTGATCTGAAAGAAGAGTGGAAAGTTACAAAGGTCAAAATGGAAAACAAACCACACCAGAAATATCAATCACCCAGTCACCTGAGTTTATAATTATAACTGCCAACGAGGAAGGGGGAAAAAGGACTAAAACCAATGTCAAAGCCCAAGGGAATCTCTATGAAGAAGAGTCTGAGTACTGGCACCTGCGAGAAGGGACCCGTACTTTTCTTAGCAAAGTCATGAAGACACTACTTACAGCAGCTGGACCAAAGAGAGCAAAGAGTCTATGAGAAGCAACAATTAAAGTCTTAAGTGGGGAGGGTACAGCTCAGCATGCACAAGGTCCTGGGTTCAATCCCCAGCACCTCTGTCTAAAAGGAAACAAGAAACATGAAGTGCCCTAAAATGAGAGATAATTAAAAAAAAAAGTCTCTTTAAAAGAAAATCAATAAATAAAGTCTTAAGTGACTGTATAGACCACCTCCCCTGCTTCATGGAAACCTCTAATGTCAGCGAAGGAGTGGTGGCCTTCTTTGGCATTATCCAGTTACTCAGACTAAGTTTAATTTGGTTTTGGGTTTTTTTGGTGGGGGAGATAATTAGGTTTATATACTTAATTACTTTTTTAATGGAGGTACTGGGGATTGAACCCAGAACTTTGTGCATGCTAAGCCCACACTCTACCACTGAGCTATACCCTCCTGCTTCAGACTAAGTTTAAGAGGTAAGAGCAAAAAATACCTGACTAAAATAAGGAGTTTGTCCTCCAGGATACTGGGAAGGCATTGGTCCTCCAGGAAAACCACCTACACATCAAAACAAAACAAAAAAAAACAGCAAATGACTAAATGATTTCTTGTTTCAAAACAGTGCTGATTTATTATGAATATGGAAACATGAGAACATTCACACTACAGTATTCACTAGGATAATTTTTAAATATTGTAATTTACTAAATCAAAAACCAACTTTGGTCATGAGAATCTTTTAAAATATTCCATGTCCTACATAATGTCTTAAAAAATAGTATTTTAAAAATAGAACAAACACTTGAACCAGATTAAATTCTGATTCCATCTGGAAAGGATGACAAGACATAGTTCTGGGAGCTGTTTCACTTGTGTTACAGGAGTGAATAGAGACGGTCCTGAAGGTTTTGTTTTTTTTGGTTTTGGGACAGATAAATTTTTCTTTAAATGAAAAAGTGGGTCCATCTTTCCATCTTACTAACTAAACTTTTCCATCAAATGAATACATTTCATGAAAACATATAGTAATTAAAATTATTTATAAAAGCATTTAGTATATGACAATCTCAAACATAAACTAAGTTCTCTCAATGGCAACTGAAAAATTCAAAATATCATGCTATTGTTTTTCTCCAGACAGCTGGTACCTACCAGGTAGTGGGACCTGTGCTGGGCCACCACCATAAGACTGTGAGGGTGGCTGTGGATAGCCAGAAAAGCCTGCTCCACCTGGTGGGGCTCCAAACCCTTGGCCTGGAGAAACCAGAGAAAAAAATTAAACATAATGACATTTCTCATGATTGAAGAGAAAACTTTAGAAAAATATCTCCTATTAACAATGGGGAAAAAAAACCACTGGAAAAAAATATGTATTATTAATGCTATAACAGCAGTCCCTTCTGGTCTAAATTCAACTTCTTACCAACTCCTTCCCCATTAAAAAATAAATATAAAAATGTTTACTTCATCTGTCTGCCTAAATAACTTGCAATACAAAAGTGCTAAGCTTTGCTGTTTTTTTAACCTGTGTCCTAAAGGTCACAATCATGCTAATTGAAATGTCTTAATCAGTTCTTAAGATTACAGATAATCAAGCAAACTGTTATATATTGGTCTTTTATTACCATTTATTCCAATTTCCTACACAACAGAATTTTGGAGACTGCTCCCAGCTTTCATGTCCTCTGAGAATCTTGATCCCTCAATCTTGCCAGCAAGGTCTTTACTGTCTAAGGTAGAAAGTAGGCTAAGGGAAACTGACCTCATACAAAACGAGCAGGAATACACTAATCCCATGGCCCATGACTCACCTCCGGGATAGGATGGAGCTCCCCCTGGCTGTGGTGCACCAGGATAGCCTCCAGGCACTGGATAACCTCCAGGGGCAGGGTAGCCTCCAGCTCCTGGGTAGCCACTACTTGGTGCTGGGGGGTAGGCCCCTCCTCCCATTGGAGGATAGCCACTAGGGTAAGGATACTGACCAGGAGGGGGAAAAGATGACTCCTGACCTGCAGGCTGAAAAATGAGAAAAACTTTCAAATGAATGTGATCAAGAAACACAATCCATATAAAAAAGGAAAAAATCGGTAACTGTTAAGGCCTAGCTTGTTCTTTCATGTATTAAAAAGCCCATCAGAAATCCTGGTATCTCATACTAGCTTATCAGTATACTAGTTTGTCAGGACACTTGTTTGTCAGAATTTGGTTAAATGTAATTCTACCTGTGTCAGGCAAGAGGGGTCTGTTTCTCCATTTGGGAGTAAATAGAGAACCAGGCTTTTTCCAAACCCCAAAGTTTCAGGAACAACTAATAAAGCTCATTAGTTCCTTTATTTTCCTAGCACCTAGAAATATGAGAAAGATCCACCTCTCTACCCTAAGGAGAGGAATTCATGCAACATACCTGGACTTGGGCATAACAGAAAAAAAAAAAAAGTGACCTGAGTCACACATTGGGTGTGACATTTTGGATCTCAGTTCCAATCATACGATGTCTAAGTATGGCAGAGATTGTTACATGTTCACTACACTTCTTCCCGGCCCACAAAACTAGACTACATTCCCCAGGACCTCCTTACAGGTAAGTAGGACCGTATGAATGTGGTAAATGAATGCGGACAGAAGTAATGTACACCACTTCCAGCCTGGCCCCTAATAACTTCCTATCTAATCCTCTACACTCTCTCTTCCTCTCTCTTTTCCTTCATCTGCCAGCTGGAAGCAGAGGATCCACTGGAGGATTATAAGGCATTAGAGAATGGTACAGCCTCCAAGATCACACAGAATAGAGCCTCTCAGCTCCTCACAACACCACCCCACCAACACACACACAACCGCTGAATTCCAGGAGGCTGAAGTAAGCAAGAAATGAGTTTTTAAATTGTTAAGTCATTGGGATGTTAGGGTTGTCAGTTTCAGCAATTAGCCTAAATTGACCGAAATGGTTGCCAGAGTTCAGATTAGTACATAAGACCTGGGAACATATTCATAATTCTCATCTCTCCTGTGATAAACACAGGAGAGCTATATATTCACTTTAAATAAGGATTCACACATTATCATTAATCTGTATAGGCCCCTTTTTCTAGTCTCAAAGAGTTAGACAGAAGCCTTAAATACATATGAGCATAAAATTGAAATTCACAATTCTCACTTTGGCCTCAGTAATGAGGTTAGTCCTCAGAATAGCATAGACATCAACAAGGCAGAACACGGTAGCACATGTATAAAACATACTCCAAACACTAAAAGTCTCAGAACTACAAATCCAGGGCCCTGTAATCCACAGCAATTTGTTATCTCTGAGCCAAGCCCTTCTTATTTATTTTAAACCTTCCAGCACAAAGGTTAAAAACCAGTGACTCATAGGATACATTTAGCTTACATACATGTTTTACTGGCTCATACAGCATTTAACATTAAAACAAAATTTTTAAGCAGGCAATTTCACATAAAATCCAGATTTTTGGGTTTACTTGAAGAAATGGAGTATCTAGCAACACTGAGTGGGCCTCCCTCCATGGCCACATCAGGCTGAAGCCGAGCAACTGCTGGCCTTCCCCACAATGCTTTACTTCACTCACATATTCTACTCTGGCCATTTGAGTTTGACCCTTGCTCTAGCATACTATAAAATCTGTCATGGGCTAGTCCTATACAACACTGCTTCAAGGACATGAGCTATTTTAGTATCATAAATGGCAATACTTACAGGATATCCAGGGAAAGGTGGGTAGCCTGTGGGAGGATAGCTTGGGTATGACATTCTGTAACAACAATAAAAAATATCCTCTTTAATTTCTTAAAGATATGCATATAGATATAAATAGATAAATAGATCAATCATATGGTTTTACATAAAATACACCTTCTTTCAAAAGAGTTCAGCAGACAGACTCTGATTCAGTAATTCTGAGATGGGGTCTGAGATTCTGCATTTCTAACAAAGCTTCCAGGTGATACTGTTGCTGCTGGTCTGTAAATATTTTGGTACCAGAGTATTTTGGCATTTCTGGACCTACCATCTAATTTGTTAAGTTTTTCATTATGTGTTTTGGCTCTTCTCTCTAACTGGTTGTAAATTATTTGTATCTCTTTTTTATCAAGACTTCAATCCAATCCAATTCAACATTATGAAAGCCCATTATATAATAAGCACTGTCCTAGGTGCTGGTAAAAAGATGGGGAGAGGAAAAAAAGTACCCTTCCTTTTGAATACATAGTGTAGGAAAATGAGATAACAAACTGAAGTTACTACAGTGTCCCTTATGACATTAAGCACAGTACAGAAGCTAAAAACTTGCTAAGTTGAGAATGAATGGCCATATGTTTAGTCAAAGTTATAAGTTAATAAGAAAGATAATAAGAAGGTTGATAAAATAAGTTCTAAAACAGTCATTTGGGATCCAAAGACCTTCATGCAAAGAAATAGGTAAAATTGTTTCTCGCTTTCTTCTTCTCTAAGCCCCATTGATAAAAGGAGTAAAGGAGAAACAACAGCATCTAAGAACAGTTAGGCAAAAGAGGTCAGGGTCCAAAGAAAGGGGAAAAAGTCTGAAAATAACTTATGAGAGAAATTAACAATAATTTTAAAGGCAACAAGTAGCTACAGTACTAAAGACTACATAAGCAATTCAAATTTCTAAATCTCTGGAATTGTTCCAATGACAAAGTCCTATTTCTACATCCTTGAGCTGCTATATTAAATATTATCTTTAACGGCCCTAGAGAAATTATTGTCAACAAGAGTTTCAGAACAGAACGAAAATGAAAAGTATCTGTATCTCATATGCAGTTTCTCATAAACTTAAAGCAATTTTAAGAAAGTGAATTCGATGTATTTTGAAGAATAATTATATAAAGGACTAGAATGCAATTCCATTTCCAGGATGTACTTACAGAAATACTTGCACAAATGCAAAGCTATATATGTAAAAGGCTATTCGTTACAGCACTATTTGTAACAGAAAAAGGTTAAAAACAATCAAAGTCCATTAATAAGGGACACGTGAGAAAGATTATGGGCAGCCATACAATGAAGTGTTATTTATGCAAGTATTAGAAATGAGCAGCTCTCTTTCTACTCATATGTGAAACCGTCTTTTGGTAAAGTAAGTGGGGGAAAAAAGTAAGGTAAAAAATTGCATAGATAATGTGCAATCAAATGTGTAAAAATACACATTTATTTGCTTGTATATAGAGAGAATATCCCTGAAAGTATACTCAAGAAACAGTGGCTGCCTGCAGGAAGGAGAGCTGGGGCATAAACAGGAGACTTACTTGTCAAAGTATCTTTAGCCTTTTTGGAATTGTGCATATATCATCTATTCAAAAGGTAGATTTTAAAAGCTTTTGTAAAAAGCTTACACAGACCTGAGGGTGACTCCACAAATTACTCAACTTTGCCCAAGGAATAATTAGATTATACCAGTGAACCAGAGCTTTTAAAAAAGACTGGAAAAATCATTCCTGGTTCTCCGAATCATCTCCACCCAGTGAGTCAACTACTAAAAGGGGTGGGTCTCACTAGGCAAGTCTCAGAGATGGCATGAAGCCCAGAAACACAGGCGGCATCTGGTGCAAATTTATGAGAAGAAACAAATACGAAACAGGAAGAGTGAATGAAGATGGCCAACAGCAGATACTTCAATTTTCCAAAACCTGCCTCCTGACTGGGAAGGACCATTTAAATCCATCAGCAAGGGCCCTCTGATAAAGAACTGGAGGCGTGACTAGCTTCTGCATGGAAAGGGTCGGCAGCCACCACCAGGGAAGACTCAAAGGCGGCTTCATTTTGCATTGGTCAAAATTCTAACCTGCCTATCTAGTACTTGAAACTCCTTCCCTGCTTGAGAGGTAACTCATTACACTTATTATCTAATTAGGACAGATTACTTTAACAGATCAGCTCCCCATCAGTTGGCAGAAATTAGGAGTTTAAAGGCAGTTGGATGACTTCTTTTCATTGTCACTTTATGGTGAACATAAGCTATCTTCTGTCGAATTGTTCACACAGGTTGGCCTCATATCAACACACGTTTGCTCGTGTTCGGGAAAAAGGACCAAATCTGTAATGTTATTTCCTAGAATAGTTGCCAAGAATTATAAATCTGAGCCAGTGTACAATTTTAGGTTTATGCATTCTGTCCTTAGGATTCACTAAGCAAAGAACAAATTTCCCGTTTCCCTAAATTTGCTGTGTCACCAGGAGGTCTAGTCACCAGCTGGACTTAGCTTTCGGTGCTGCTCGCTGGTTTTCCTACTCAGCCCTCCTTGAGGTTGCTCCAGGAAGGCCATCCTCTGGCCTACTCCCTCCACCTGTGGTCCACCTGCGGTCCACCTGCCTGCGCGGGAGGGGTCACTGCTCCCTCTTACCTCCCGACAGCCGAGGGGCACGGAGGATCGGGGAGCAGGACTTCCCGTTGCCCGACGCCTCGGTGATCCGCCCCAATGTACCCCAAGCCGAACGCCCCCACCAGGGAGCCGGGGTCCCAGGACGCGCACACCGAGTTGCCCACCACCGGGAGACCCACAGGCCCTTCCCCCGCCCCTGGCTTGGGTACACACGCTGGCCACTGCCCTCTCCCGGATGGCCGGCCTTAGAGCGAGCCAGGGGGAGATGTTCAAGGGGGAGGGGTGGCGGCGAGGGCCGGGGGGCGCCATTCCTCACCTGACCCCGAGGAGCAGCGTCACAGCCCAACCCGGTCGCCGGCAAGATGG